TCTGCCGGCAGGACATGCCCGAAACACCTCCCCGGGGAGGCGTCCAGGAGGCATCCTGACCAGATGCCCAAACCACCTCAACTGGCTCCTTTCGATCCGGAGGAGCAGCGGTTCTACTCCGAGTCCCTCCCGAATGTCCGAGCTCCTCACCCTATCTCTAAGGCTGAGCCCGGCCACCCTACGGAGGAAACTCATTTCGGCCGCTTGTATCCGCGATCTCGTTCTTTCGGTCATTACCCAAAGCTCATGACCATAGGTGAGGATTGGGACGTAGATCGACCGGTAAATCGAGAGCCTGGCTTTCTGGCTCAGCTCCCTCTTCCCCACGACAGATCGGCTCAGCGTCCGCATCACTGCAGACGCCGAACCAATCCGCCTGTCGATCTCCCGATCCCTCCTACCCTCACTCGTGAACAAGACCCCGAGATACTTAAACTCCTCCACTTGAGGTAGGACCTCTCCCCCGACCCGGAGGTGGCAAGCCACCCTTTTCCGGTCGAGAACCATGGTCTCAGATTTGGAGGTGCTGATCCTCATCCCAGCCGCTTCACATTCGGCCGCGAACCTACCCAGCAAGAGCTGAAGGTCAGAGCTGGATGAAGCTAGGAGGACCACATCATCCGCAAAAAGCAGAGACGAGATTCTCCTGCCACCAAACTCGACACACTCCACACCACGGCTGCGTCTAGAAATTCTGTCCATAAAAGTGATGAACAGAACCGGTGACAAAGGGCAGCCCTGGCGGAGTCCAACCCTCACTGGGAACAGGTCCGACTTACTACCGGCTATGCGGACCAAACTCACGCTCCTCTGGTAAAGGGACTGAATGGCCCTTAACAGAAAGCCACCCAACCCATACTCCTGGAGCGTCCCCCACAGGGTGCCCCTGGGGACACGGTCATAAGCCTTCTCCAAATCCACAAAGCACATGTGGATTGGTTGGGCAAACTCCCATGCCCCCTCCATCACCCTTGCAAGGGTATAGAGCTGGTCCACAGTTCCACAGCCAGGACGAAAACCACATTGCTCCTCCTCTATCTGAGATTCAACTATCGATCGGACCCTCCTCTCCAGTACCTTGGCGTAGACCTTTCCAGGGAGGCTGAGGAGTGTGATCCCCCTATAGTTGGAACACACCCTCAGGTCACCCTTCTTAAAGATGGGGACCACCACCCCGGTCTGCCACTCCCTAGGAACTGCCCCCGATGACCACGCAATGTTGTAGAGACGTGTCAACCATGACAGCCCTACAACATCCATAGCCTTGAGATACCCAGGACGAACCTCATCCGCCCCCGGGGCTCCGCCGCTGTGTAGTTGTTTGACTACCTCAGCAACTTCTGCCCCCGAGATTGGACAGTCCATCCCCAGGCCTCCCAGCTCTGGTTCCTCCTCGGAATGCGCATTGGTGGGATTGAGGAGCTCCTCAAAGTATTCCTTCCACCGTCCGACTATAGCCTCAGTTGACGTCAGCAGCTCCCCATCCCCACTGTAAACAGTGTGAGCGAGTTGCTGCCTTCCTCTCCTGAGGCGCCGGACAGTTTGCCAGAACCTCTTTGGAGCCGATCGATAGTCTTTCTCCATGGCCTCACCAAACTCCTCCCACGCCCGAGATTTTGCCTTGGAAAGTGCCACTGCTGCACCCCGCTTGGCTATCGGGCACCTGTCTGCTGCCTCCGGAGACCCACAGACCAGCCACGCCCTGTAGGCCTCCTTCTTCAGCCTGACGGCTCCCCGAACCTCTGGTGTCCACCAGTGGGTACGGGGGTTGCCACCACGACTGGCACCGGCCACCTCACGACCACAGCTAGCAACAGCCGCCTCGACAATCGCAGAGTGGAACAAGGCCCACTCGGACTCAATGTCCCCCACTGCTCTCGGGACGTGGTCAAAGCTCTGCCGGAGGTGGGAGTTGAAGACCGTCTTGACAGGTTCTTCTGCCAGGCGTTCCCAGCAGACCCTCACTATGCGTTTGGGTCTGCCAGGTCTACGCGGCATGTTCCCTTGCCATCTGATCCAACTCACCACCAGGTGGTGATCAGTTGACAGCTCCGCCCCTCTCTTCACTCGGGTGTCCAAAACATACGGCCGCAGGTCAGATGATACGACTACAAAATCTATCATCGACCTGTGACCTAGGCTGCCCTGGTACCAAGTGTACCGGTGGGCATCCTTATGTTCGAACATGGTGTTCGTTATGGCCAAACTGCGGCTTGCACAGAAGTCCAATAACAAAACACCGCTCGAGTTCAGATTAGGTGGGCCGTTCCTCTCAATCACACCCCTCCAGGTCAAGCTGTCATTGCCCACGTGAGCATTGAAGTCCCCCAGCAGGACAATGGAGTCCCCTGATGGAGCACTATCTAGCACTCGTCCCAGGGACTCCAAAAAGGGTGGGTACTCTGAACTGATATTTGGCCCATAAGCACAAACAACAGTCAGGACCCGTTCCCCGACCCGAAGGCGCAAGGAAGCTACCCTCTTGTCCCCCGGGGTAAACCCCAACACACAGGCAGAGAGTCTCGGGGCTAACAAAAAGCCAACCCCAGCCCTCCGCCTCTCACCCGGAGCAACTCCAGCAAAGTAGAGTGTCCAACCCCTCTCCAGGTCTCGGGTTCCAGAGCCAATGCAATGTGTCGAGGTGAGTCCGACTATATCTAGCCGGTACCGCTCAACCTCTTCCACAAGCTCCGGCTCCTTCCCCGCCAGCGAGGTGACGTTCCATGTCCCAAAAACTAGTTTTCTTGTCCGGGGATTGGACCGCCAAGGCTCCCGCCTTGGTCTGCCACCCGATTCGCATTGCACCGGACCCTTCATGTTCCTCCTGCGGGTGGTGGGTCCACAGTTGGACGAGCCCATGTATCCGGTTCGGGCTGGGCCCGGCCGGGCCCCATGGGCGAAAGCCCGGCCACCAGGCGCTCGCTCACGGGCCCCAACCCCAGGCCTGGCTCCAGGGTGGGACCCCGGTAACCCTCCGGGCCGGGTACTCCGACTCTTCGTTTTAACCGCCATGAAAGATCCTTCGAACCGTTCTTTGTCTCACCCTTCACCTAAGACCAATTTGTCATGGGAGACCCTACCAGGGGCACTAAGTGCCCCAGACAACATAGCTCCTAGGATCATTAGGGCACTCAAACTCCTCCACCACGATAAGGTGACGGTTCAAGGAGGAGTAAAACAGCTACAGATTTCTAAATTTCATTGTGGTTGATGCTCATAATATATTAGTAACGTTTAGATTACTAGCAATTTCAGTTTATAAATTACATGGTTTTACATAAATATTAATAAATTCCTGCTGAATCTAACCTCTGGAGTAGAAAGACTACATTTGGTAACATTTTGCTGCATTTAATTCCTGTAATGCAAAAATCAATGGTGATGAAATGGTTTATAAAGTAAGTTAGCATGATCTGTATAATTTAGGCGATCATAGCAACGCAGTCTTGGCTTTGCTAAACTCAAATTAGCCATTAGCTCATCAAGTCCTGAATAATGAAAACTCTGTTACTCCAGACTAAGGCTATTTAGGAATCTGCAACGGGTAAATTATTAATTATTTATAGCTTCCACACAAAAACATGCCTCAAAGTGGCCTAAAAGGATTTCTAGCTTATTGCTAAAACTTTTAGTCCAATTTGGCTTTCATCTAGCTGACTAAACATCTTACCAGCTTTTGATTAGGTATATAAAGGATATTTTTATTAATTTATGTGCCTTTAACACAACTTATTTTAAAGGGACTTTACTGAGTTTTGAATTTTTATGCTCGCAATTGCCCCCTCAGGCCAAAAGCATAACGGCAGCTTCAATAGTAGGCTCGTGCACGAGGCGCGCATGCTATACGTGCACACTCCTTAACGAAAATAACAGCTGAGACAGTCCCTTGTGTGTGTGTGTGTGTGTGTGTGTGTGTGTGTGTGTGTGTGTGTGTGTGTGTGTGTGTGTGTGTGTGTGTGTGTGTGTGTGTGTGTGTGTGTGTCTGTGTGTCTGTGTGTCTGTGTGTCTGTGTGTGTGTGTGTGTGTGGCCCAGAGGACAGGAGAACGCGCAGCTAATTAATTAAATAATTAGGTTCTGTACCATTCTCTTCAGCACAGCCGACAAAGGTTTAAGATGGGTCAGTCCTCCTGTATGCTCAGTTCATTCCCTTCCCTTGCTTGAAAAATTGTTCCAAAATGAAAGTTGAACCCACATCTTTTTTTATCTGTGAATTCAATGCAGTTCGGCGAGTCTCAAATAAAAATTTGGGCATCTTACTGCAAAAAAATATACCATTAATGTAAAAAATACACTCTAAATAAATTATGTTCACATCCAGAATCAAACCCAGCTCTTCTGCACAGGAGTCCATCGTCTCACTGGGTGAGCTATAGCACCAGTGACGTCTTCTGTATCTGTAACATTTATGTGCTTGATGACAGCTGAAACAAAGTTCAAAGAACGGTTCGGAGCGAAAATGGCTATTTTGTTGCTAATTTGCAGGAAGTATCTAGAAGAAAGTTCTACAGAAAGTAGCAAAGGGTCCTCAGAAATGTCGCTAGCTTTGTCACTAGGTGTTAGGAACAGCGACAAAGACTAAAGCTACTGATAGCAAATGCTACGGGCTATGCCTGAGCGTGAACGCGCATGAAGCAGCCTGCTCGACCCGAGCAGCTCTCTTTTTCTGTTATTTTACAGAAAAACAGGCAATCACAGTAAAAATGCCAGGGCTCATTCTACAGGACCAGGGCATTGCAGGAGAATGTTTGAAGAAGAAATTTATTATTTCTATACATGTTTTGGCTGTGAAACTTCCATAATGCCCCTTTAAAGAAAGTTGTTTTAAAGCATATACCTTATTTCTTTTTTTGTTTGTTTGTTTGAAGAATCATCTGTTCTGTGACCAGCAGAGATGGGAGGATGAAACAAGAGACACTTTGTTGCTTCATGTTTGTGCCTGAAGATTTCAGATTCTCCTCTCTATAAACCAGAATGTTTCATGAGTTCCTCTGTGTTTCAGAGCCCTTCATGAGGAACGGTCGGCCCCCCACCTCTCACAGCATGCACTCCTTTCTGCACCAGTACACCGGCTCCTTCAAGAAACCGCCCTTGCGTCGGCCGCACAGTGTCATTGGTGGAACTCTTGGGTCCTTCATGGCCATGCCACGCAACGGCAGCCGCCTGGGTGAGATTCACATTTACTCACAAACACGTACACTCAAACGGAAGGAAGTGAGTGGTAGAAAAGCAGATGGCATCCGGCATTTGACAGGAAACTGAGATTTCCCCGTCCTGCCTCACATTCGTAGAGACGCATTTGACAGAATGACTCGGCATCATTCCCATGGGCCAGCTTGTCTGTTCACCCTCAACCTGGGTATGTTGTTTTTCTGCACATGTGACAGCTGGATGTGGGATTCGGTCGAACATGATGCAGTTTCTTTTGAGAGTTGATTCATCACAGCTGAATCGTCAAATTGAGTCTCTTCTAGAAGAAAAGAGATGACTCCAGGGGTGATGAGAGGATTCAGATATCACGGGTAATAATGTTTACCAGGTATAACTGTGTTTTGAATGTTCAATAAGTCATGGAAGACCACTACCTACTTGTTTTTCTATGTTTTCCTGCACCAGCACACTTTGTTTGAATCAGTCAGTGTAATTATTTGTACATCTAAATCAAGCTGTAGCAATAATCAAGCTAATAGCATAACCAGCCTTGATCTGAGCACGTCAGTTAGAAATAGAGATTGGCTGATTTAGGTTTTTCTGTTGCCAATACCGATGCTGATATATAGGAGACATAGTAGGGCAATGGCCGATATGTACTGCCGATTTTTATGGCCAATATCTAAATGTTTTTCACTTTATTTTCATGCTAAAATGTCACTAACAAGTCAGACGATGCACAAAATTGGTAAACCTTAACTTTGTGCACTTCTCAGTGATGAAGCTAGAGACCTAAATAAAGTTAATTTAGAACAGGGGTCACCAACCTGGTGCCTGCTGACGCCATCGCGCCCCCAGGAGCTTCATGAGATATCCGCAGGCCTTTTCTCTAAATGACACAAGTCTACAATAAACAAAAGAAAAATAATCTGCCACCATTTTTTAATCATAAATGCATTAATACAGATTTGAAAACTACAATGTTCTTTGAAAACAATAACCAATTTTTATACGTGACGTTTAGTTAAACTGATCTATTCCAGTTTAAAGGTCAGTATTGTTTCAACCTGGTAGTCCTTGTACGGATCAGTACCCGTGAATTAGCTCTGGGCTTCAAAAGGTTGGTGACCCCTGATTTAAGGTATTAATTATGCAGATGTTATTACTGAATGGAAAAATACAAGTAAATTAAATTCTGAAACAACTCCGGCTGCCCAAGGATGCGCCTGACTTTAAATCGGCTTTACTAAGGACAACTATCAGCCAATACAATGTATAAACATCTGTAAATATCAGCCTAGTTAGAAAATCAAATCAGTGAGCGAAGCTTGAATTGCTGCTGGAATTCATATCTAATTTTAAGAGGACATTAAACATTTATGCTCTGAAGTATGGTGGGCTTTCTTGCGGTACATAGTAAAAAACTAATTAGACTTTCTCATGCTGTTAAAATAATCTCTTCAACAGGGGTGTCAAATTCAAATTCACACTGGGCCGAAATGAAAATGTGGGACGAAGTCACGGGCCAAACTTAATATTTTTTGAAAAAGTGACGGCAAATTTGCACATTTTCTTTATCAACATATATGCAATTTTGAACCTTTTAATTTGGAAACAAACTTATTTTTGCGTTAACACTGAATGTGGAATAACCAAATTACACACGAGCAAGTCAATTTTAAATAAAACACATCAGTGGTATTCATTACTTGTGGTATATTCAGCATTTTTAAAATGTATTCAGGATTTATGTTTTCTTGTTGTTTATTCATTTTTCTTATTTTTATTCTCCTTTTTTCCTCCTGTAATAAGTGTCATCACTGCTGTGACATTTAGCTTTTCCCACTGAGGAACAATAAAGGGATTTTCTATTCTATTCATCTATCTGCAGCCTTTCCAGTTCCTGTTTTACTGTAGGTTAAATCTTTTCTCACAGGCCAACAACAAAATAAAAATATAATTTTATCTTGAATGCAAATGCAACATCTCACCTGTTAGCTTTCATGTTTTGGAGCAGAAAAAAAGCATAAAACCAAAATATTTAAAGTTCAGTTTGCTCCACTGATTTACTGTGATGCTCACCTGTTCCAGCCAGATACCTGCATCATGGGGTTGATCTTAGCTGAGGAGGAGACTCCTGTTTTGTTCATCTTCATCATAACAATGACAACATTAGATGACAACAGGTGCTCACATAGGTTTGTGCCGAGCATGGAGAGCATCTGAGCAGCTTGACCACGTTGTTGTGTATCGGGGAGGAAAAATAAAAACTACAGCAGCCACAGAGTCACGTTGATTTGAGCGTGTTGCTGCTCGCTGGAGTTATATCAGCTCTGTCTGGAAGTTAGTTGGAAAACTTTCTCTTTCAGTCGTGAACACATTACTGATCGGTTAAAATCTCCGCTTCTGGGCTTCAACGTCGGCAAGTAGCTGAGTAAACTCGTCGCTGAGTGAGAGGAGTGTTTAGTTTTTCCGAGACAGCGGAGCTGCAGACACCGACAGCAGACGATGGAAAAACACAAAAGAGGGGGCGCTTCGGTGCCTCGCTAACTCCGCAAAGCATCATGGGAGTTGTAGTTTTTTTGGTAAAACTGGCCAGCTGGTCAGTTTTAATGCATTTATGATATTTATCTCGCGGGCCACATAAAAATGCTCCATGGGCCACATCTGGCCCGCGGGCGTGTGTCTGACACGTGTTCTAGAATCGGAATGTTACCAACTTCAGAGTCATAAGGCTTCATCCATGTGGATGTCATGAGTTTAAAAGGAAACTTAAAAATCCCCACAATGTATGAGCACAGAGACTTGTAAGTTCAAATCAAGTTTTATTTATAGTAGAGATGTAGGTGATGATAACCCTAACCCTAACTCACAAAAACAATTGTCTCAAAGGCAAAATGTGGCTGATAAGTGGTCTCTGTGTGTTTTTGCTTATCTTTTAGCTCAATATCTCATGATCCACTTGTAACGTAACTAAACCAAACCGCCACTTCCGGTCAGCTCTTATTTTGGCGGGGATGACCCTTCATAAGTTCCGGGTTACATAGTTGTTGCCCTGTTTCTTCCTGGCTGCTGCTGTTCCGGTGACTGGCGTGGTTTTGACCAAAAGGATACTCCGTAATCATTTGCTGACGTGACGATCCTGCCAAGCGATCACCGTAGTGCCTTTAAGCGACCAACTCGACGTTTTTTTTTTTGTTGTTGTTTGTTTTGTTTTCCCCCTTGGTCAGAGGCCTGATCGAGACGGGATGGTGAGCCGTCCGACCTCCGCTGCAATGCGGTAGGACTGAACCTTTTACTGAGTCATACCATCAGGAAAATGACCTATCAAAGGTTGAACTGAATGAACTAACCCCCTTGGTTCTGCTCATGTAGAATCGTTGTGTTTGGAAATATTTATCTGCTTATTTATGTGTATTGTATGTTTATTTATGTTGCTGTCATTGTTGTGATTGTTACACCTCACAGAAAACTGCCTGAGCTCCGTCTTAGTAGTTGTGGTTCATTCACACCCCAAGGCTCCTTCTCTGACTCGTTTTCTTCTGGTGATTAAGGAAATAGCAGTCACACCTTAGCCCAAGGAGCGTTACATGTGGCGAGCCAGCCAGGAGCCTTGACGTGTGAATGCTGTTGTTTGGTAGATTCATCTGACATACACAGCCATGGACTCTGTTACTACATCCGGCGTGGATACATCACGGTCTGTGATGATTTCAGGTGTGTTTAACACCAAAGCCGATGATGAAATACTTGACTGTTTGCATAGCTACGGTAAAATCAATCGTTATTTTTATGTCAGTGACTCTATGAGTCGTTTTTTTCCAAACCTGATCGTTGACTATGTAGACAAGACAGCTTATACAGCCCTAGAACCGCTTCTGCCATATACGTACACTTCTCGAATCACCGATGACCTTGTGTTTTCCGTAACTGCTTTAACTCGTGAGTGTCCAGTCACAGCAAACATTAGCAGCCATTCCCATAATTACCTAATTGACCTCAAGCAACTCGCAGTTCAAAGTGGAGACCGGTTTGAAGACATCTTAAAGACTGTAATGGCCCAGATCGGTCAACACTTGAATGCTGCAGGAGCAGCTGAGGGTGACGATGACACGGAGGAGGAGGAACAGGATGGAGAAGAGGACCAGGATTGAGAAGAGGAACAAAAGGAAAAGCAGATGAACAAAGCCCGCTCAGTACCCCCCACTGCTGGATCAACAACCCCCGGCTGCTCAGTCTGTTGATGCCCAGCAGGGAGCACGACCCCGTCAAAATCGGACTAGACCACATCCAAGGCTTACGTTATCAACAACTGATCTCACTACCCCACAAGTAAAGGGGGTTGTAGTTGAGCATGTGGTCAGAAACAGTGAAGTGGGTGCCACCACTACATTACGTCTCCGTGCTTTCTCTGGAAGGACCCTGAAGCCCAGTAACAAAGCCGATTATGACGCTTGGCATTCTCAAATTGACCTATTACTTGCTGACCCTAGTCTGTCACCTTTACACATCACCAAACATATTGTGGAGAGCCTTTTGTCTCCCGCTGCCGATGTAGTGCAGGGTCTGAGCCCTAACACATTGCCAACAGTCATTCTATGTGTCCTTGACTCATCCTTAGGGACAGTTCAGGACGGTGAGGAACTGTATGCACAGTACCTAAGTATTTGCGCAGTACCTAAATATTCTTCAAAATCCAGAGGAGCGACCATCCGCTTACCTGCAAAGATTACAGCTCAGTCTCTGTGCTGTTGTGAAGCAAGGAGGTCTTGCAGCTAAGGATTTTGACAAAACATCTCCTCAAGCAGTTTTGTCATGGGTGTTGGGACAATACCATAATAACCAAATTACAACTGGAACAGCAAAGGTCCAAACCCCCTCTTTTTCTGACGTATTGCTGTCGTTAAGAACAGAAGAAGACAGACAGCTTGCTGAGGAGTTGTTGATGAAGAAACACGTTGGCATCTCAAAACAAAAAGCCAACATCCAATCTCAAAGTGCTTGTTGCTGTGGGCA